CACGGAGTGCTGTAGCTAAATGATTAGATTTTTTGGGTTCGTTGAAGGATTATTAGAGCTACAATTTAAAAATATTTTTACAAGATACAGAGTATCCCAAATAAATAAAAATATCAAAGCTGTATTTTTTTAAATGAAACACCCGGTATATTATTACATTTTTAGTTTCTACGATTAAAATAAAGGTAAATTTGATTAAGGTTTATTACACTTAAACCTTACCGTTTTTGAAATATTTTCAATTTTGTGAAATTGCAGTAAAAATTTTAAAGCTTTATTTCTCCAAGGGTATCAATGTTTTTAATACTAAATATTTTCTGAAGTCTATTTATTGATCAGTTATTTTGTTGCAATAATAAAAATAATACTACCTCATACAGAGTGTCAAAAATTTATTTTAAATTATTTCTAGCTTTAAACGGCAATAACTTGTTTAATTTAAATGAAACGCCCTGTATATTTAAGGAGAATCAGATGTACAATTTAATTGTCTATCAAATTATATTATACCACTTTTTACCTATTCCTTCAAGTTTTCGTAGAAAATGCATTTTCTTATAATTTAGACCTCATTTATCTAGACCAATGGAATATTTAAACAACGAACCCAAAACTTACAATTTGTAAAAATCTAATCATTTAACTACAACACCCCGTGTCGTATGTGGTGAACAACCCTGTATACAGGGTGGTGCACCTCATTCGCCTCGGTTGATTATACGAAAACGGAAAGATGTAGAAATAAAATATTTTATGGGTATATGTGGGGAGTCAATGTGCACAATTTAAAATTATTTTGAAATATACAGGGTGTCTCAGAACTAAGATCCATACCAAAGTTATATTTTTTCTTATGGAACATCCGGTATTTTATTTCATTTTTGGATTCATGGGTCCAAAAAAAAGCATTTATTATAAGGGTTAAATATGTTTAAAATCTTTAGTTTTTGAGATATTTAAAGATATTTAAATTTGCATGCTACAATAGAATAGACTATTAACACCCTGTTCATTACTTTTCTCTCGAAATTAATTCTTATGCCGAGTTTAAAGGTAGAGAAATATACTTTACTGAAAAATGGAAAAATATACTTATAATAAATATCTTTTTTTGGGCCCAAGAATCCAAAAATGAAATAAAATACCGGGTGTTCCATAAGAAAAAATATAACTTTGGTATGGATCTAGGAAGTAGGCAACGCTGTGCCGGTCAAGCTTAATCACGGGACTAAAGTTTATGTGGTTTGATCTTCAAGTATTCATTATTTCTGATTAAACTTATTCAAAAACAGTTTTTTCGTCCCTTTTATGAAAATTCAATGCAATTAATCGACCTCCCTGGCATTTCAAAAAAAGCTCACTACTACCTTAACTAACCGGTTTCCGAAAAATTTAGCAATTCAAATTAATGTAGGCAATAAAAATGCAAATGGCCGGCGGCCTTGCACCTACCTGCACCAGGTAAGCGAAAAAGTGCGAGGGAAAATAGAAAAGCCCAGACAGGTTGACACTAGGGGACCAAGAAATTTTCATTACGTTTTTTGCCATAGACGGTATTTTTCTTGTCTTTTTATTTTTAGACTCGGCAGTTGATTGAGTTTTTTTCGAATTATTTACCTGGATAATATTGGAGGTTTTCTGGGAAAAACTTTTTATGGAAAAAAACGTTTATTTTATTTGTGTGATATTGATGTATTGGATTTTAACCATAGACAAACAAATAAAAAGAGACTGACAAATCTCATGGTAAAGAGTGGGACCGCGTTCCTGTAGCGCAACTCAGAATAATAATTTTGAAACCAATTACCAGTACCGTGGCAGGACATACGTCTTTGTCGCTATCTTTCTTTATTATGTGTGCTTTATATGAAAAAGAAGGGGATAGGTATAAAACGTATCGTAAGACATTATCGCACATTCTGGCTGGGGGGAAATTTAAATTAGCCATTATTAGTAGTATTCTTTCATAGTAGTAATTCATTCATTCCTGGTGTAGGGAATAAATCAGTTTAAGTGAAAATTTGCAGTTTCTTTCAGAACGAAAGAATACTACTATTATAAGGGAAATTACAAAAAAAGCAAAAATTGTACTGTTTTATAAACATATTTATTTATACATAAAAATAAATAAACTTTTTATAATATAATAACAAAAAATAACAGTGTTTATTCCACCCACCTACCAATTTTAAATGCAGAAGAACTGACTGTTGCAGGAAACGATCGGCCAATTTTTTTAAAGGGCATTAAAAATCTCATTTTCGATAAAAATTCCTTATTGCAATAACAAAGTGACTATCCAAGCAAAGAAGACTTTACGAGAATCATGATCCTGAACCATTTACAAGTCCAGTTTTAATCCTAAAACAAAAGTAAAATAGGTATATTAATAAAGTTTCTGGTTACTATAAACCAGCTATAAACTCCCTACCCAAAAAATGAAAAAAAAATAATTGTATTAATTTGTTATGTTAAGAGAGGTTCGAAATATTTTTGACACTACTACTTCTACTTTTTTCTTAATAAGATGATAAATATAACTACTTACTTTTATTTTACGTTACATATCTATCAGAGAAAGGGGGCACCAATACATATAAAAAATAGATGATACTGGCTCCTGCAGCAAATAAAATAACAAATAGTATAACCTAAAATTATAAGTAACAAAATATAAATACCTATATGGAACAAAGGAATTTGTTCCCTATCCATTTTCATAAGTCAATAAAATGGAGAGTTTAGAAAAAAAGGTAAATCACCAAAAGAAAAATTAACAAACATGACGAATTATCATGATGTTGTCATCTTGGTTGTCATGATGACGAAAACGAAAGGCGATTGTTCTAATTTCTATTTAGAAATTACGTTTTATATGGCTGCTTCTTTCTCTCTTGTTATATTAGAATGAGATAGTGGGCCCAATAGACGCAATGCGCACATCAACATAAATAGAACGAAATTTTGCGGTCTGAGTTGCGCTACGGGAACGTTGTTCCTCTCTTTGCCATTTAATTTGCCAGTCTCTTTTTATTTGTTTGTCTATGATTTTAACGTGACAAAGGCATTGACGTGTAATTATAAAGAAATAAATTATTAATTGAATTTATTCATATACAGGGTCGCCATGGTCTGACTTAGCGTGCCGATTTGCATGTGTAAAAAGTGGCTATTACATTATAAAATTTCTTTGTCAAAGATTTTATATAAAAAAGATATTATGAAGAATTTGATAGTGTAAAATGTGTGATTTTATAAAAGATTGTATAAAAAAGAGTCTTTTCTAGAATATTAATAATAATCCGTAAACAAATAAAACTGAATTTTATTTTCTATGGCGCTTTAGCGCATATAAAGTGGCGGGAAAAATTTCATTAAACTATAACACTCTTACCCATGTGAACCACTTCAATTTCCCAAGCTTATATCTCGTGGAGAATGGCGTAAACTGTGCTCGATGTGCTCAAAGTCAACGAGCGGTATTCTGCGTTTTACGTCGCCGCGCGGCTCTTCGATGTGTGGAGACGCCCTTAAATTTTTGAGTGGCATCGTAAAAAATACGTTTTAAAAATTGCGGAAGATCTATAAGGTTTTAGGGCACTTGATTAATTTTTTTACTGCCAGTGTGGTAGAATTGTGACGCAGTATCTTAACTAGAACAAAACCGCAAATTAACTACAACAGATGCGAAAGAACACCGAATTACGCGTTCAGGTTTCTGTGACCTTCAGAAAGAGTTCATAGACAATCCGCATCAATGTATAGTTTGGGTTATTATTTGTTTGGGTGAAAATAATCTGCACCAATATGTTATCGAGGCATATAATCTCACAGTAATTTAATAGATTGCTCGTCATATTATATCAGTTCGTAGGAGATTAGGAAAAAAAAGATATTTATAGTATGAAAAATTAATTTATTTAACTAAATTTAATTAAAGATGTGACAAAATAGTTACTTTTCTATTGGTTCTATCGGACTTTTTTCGACTATATAAATCTTTATTTTTTGTAAACTTTAATGCATGAAATATTTTCAATCTAATAAATAATTTAATGATGTAAATAAGAGGAAATTTCTCACAAATTCTATAGTTTTCATTATATCAAACAGCCTCTGAATGTTTTCTTCAGTGCAAAACTCATCAAAATTTAATATAAATAATTTTTCCATTTCCAGTAAATAAAATGAACAAATTTTTCCACTTTCATGATCAAAGGCTTTTAAATGGGTCAATAATTTCGAGTTATCCAGAGATTCGGATTCTTTTGCAAATTTTAGACAAATATCACATTGATGTATTTGAAGAACCTTTTAATTGATGTAGTCAAACATAATTAAAGGCATTTTGAGTTGAAAACATTTCTCAGAGGCTGTTTCATATAGTGAAAACTATAGAATTTGACCACCCATGTGAGAAATTTCCTCTTATTTACATCATTAAATGATTTATTAGATTGAAAATATTCGATGTATTAAAGTTTACAAATAAAAATTTATATAGTCGAAAAAAGTCCGATAGAACCAATAGAAAGGTACTATTTTGTCACATTTTTAATTAAATTTTGTTAAATAAATTAATTTTTTATACTATAAATATCTTTTTTTTTCTTATAAATAAACACATTTGTATCCCATTTTAAATAAGATATACAAATTACCAAAACTTAGAAATAACAGTTCAAAAGTTCGACAAAAATCCTACACCCGTTTTTAAAAAGAAACATATATCTAACCACGTACTATGTCATTCCAGCAAGCGAATACGACACAGCATAGGTTTCCGGACTAAACGACTGGTGTATTTACACCACTCAATAGGCGTGTGGGGTTTGCCGAGCGGTTTCCGATGCAGTCGCTTTCTTTCGCATCTGTTATAGGTAATTTGTGACAAAACTGTATTGTTAAAATTTATCATTCAGTGATTTCTAGTTTTTACTGTAACATATACATAAATTAAACATTTTTATTATGATATACTTTACTTTTTTATGTTACAGATTTTGCAAATTTTCCAAAATCTCGTCAAGGAAGAAGCTACGTGGCCAGGGGGAAAAACTACGGATCAGCAAACTCACTGACCAGATTTTCTGAGCAAGATGGTATGTTCATCACGCAGAATTTTTCAACTGTCATTGCTCAGATGGGAGGCACGGCAAAGTTGCCTTGTATCATCAGGAAATTCAACAATATAGTGGTAAGCATTGTTGTCTTAGCTTTGAGGATATTATTATATCCTTTAACGAATAAAAAAATAAATAATACACAGTTATAAGGGTGAACCACTTTTGAGACGCACCCGGTATAGGATTAGTGAAAGAATGATTACATTTAAATTTGTTTTTTCTCAAAAAGTCCTATTAAGGCTGTATTCCGTTGCAAAACCAGGCGAACCAGACCGGTGAACTACGGTAAAGAGCGGTTCCTGAACAACATCGGTTTGGTAAAATACTGGAAACGTCAAATGTTGAAACGTTTTCTAAATTTCAATTTCTCTATTATAAAATGTATCTTTTATGCATTTTAATGTACCTATTCTCTGCTTTTACGTTTGCTTCTTCTTTTCAATAGAGTTAATATTGAAAAGTACTTTATTAATAAACTGTTAAACTCGTTAGACACCTTAAGTGAAGATTTGCAGGTCCGATATTAAAACAGATCAATAATAAATAAACAACTCTAATCAATATTTCTATTTTTATAGCTTACAACACATTCACGATTACTTGTTGTCTTGTTTTTCATGTTTTCTTTAAATGGTCCTGACTTTAAGAAACAATGGCTGCATGATAAGTTTAAATGGCCCTAAAAAGTCGTTCTATTTAGTTAATGAAATTTATTTACCTTTACTGCCTCCCTCCATTGCTTTTGGATGTAAATACAAAATATTATTACAAATTTTAGAAATTAAATGAGACTTTCACTCGAACTTCCAATATTTGCTTGATTTCTGTCAAATAAATGACATTGATTGACAAACAAAACCAGAAAACCCAGCCTTCTCGCGCTGGTTAGTTGGGTGACAGTTATTACCGAATTTTTCAGGAACCCTGTTCCGTAATAAACTTTCAGGAAACCGATAGAAACGGAACATAAAACCATAACCAAGGTAAGCAACGGAATACACCCTAAATTCATAGAATCCTGTAGAATTTTTACATGAACCGCCACTGCTTTCTAAAATTTGATCATGTAAAGTGCTATAGACGTTTATTAGTGCGTCCTAGCACTTTGCCTTACTAGAAAAGACATGAAAAGTGGCAACAGAAATGCAATACGAACATCGGAGTGCTTGAAACGTCACCTTGGAAACTTCAAAGGACGGAGAGGCACAATAGAGCAGCCATTCCCGTTCATTGTAATGAAATTTACCGGCTTTCTAGCTTTTTTCCACTATTTCTATCTTTCCGTACCTGTGAAAATTAAATGCCTCGGTCTTATAGCAGCTGAAAAGCCAAAGAAAACGCGAAAAATAGCGCCTTTTGTTCAGCGGAGCGTATCTACGAGCTAAGATATCATGAGATAATCACTACTTTCGTATAATGCGTGCTTTTCTTTGTTTTTTTTGCTCGGGATCTAGCTTTTAGAGATAGATATTTTTTTGTTTCTTTAGGGTAGCGTCATAATTATATTAGATGTTTTTAAAAATACTTTTGTATTTTAGGTTTTAGTATTTTTATAGTACACGCTAGGTACCAGCGACTTCGTTCGCGTCGAATTAATCATTTGTAATGGTGATGATAAAACAAAGCAAGAATTTCCATTAACATACAAACTGGATAAGATTTTCTCACATTTATGTCAGCATGAGAAAAAAATATGGCGATATTATTATATAACTTGGTGATATTTGAGGGGTAGTTTCAACTCGTTGGAATTTGACTTTCGAAAAATCCGTTTGCCAAAAATAAGCTTTTTACGCCAAGCAGTTTAAGCAGAATCGTGGTTAAGAAATTACTCAACTTTTTGGAACACCCTGTACGATTTTTTAAAAAATTTCAAAATATGTAAAAAAAACAAATAAATTATGCTTGTCCAAGCGTTTTCCCGAAAGACTAACCGTTTTTTAAATAACAAATGTTGTAATATTTGAGGGGTGTTTTCACCCTCTTGCAACTTGAGATTCGAGAAACCCCTCCTTATCGAACCTCTACACCCCACAGTCAATCCGTTTGCCAAAAAGCAGCTTTAAACGTCAAGCAGTTTAAGCAGAATCGTGATTACTCAATGGTCATATCTTATGAAACACCCTGTATAAATTTATAAAAAATCTTAAAATATGTAAAACAACAAAATAAAATATACGTGTTTAAGAGTTTTTCCGAAAAACTCACCGCTTTTTAAATAAAAAATATTTTAATATTTGAGGGATAGTTTCACCCCCTTAGAATTCGAGTTTCGAAAAATCCCTTTTTATCGAAAATCTACACCCTAAAGTCAATCTGTTTTCCAAAAATCAGCTTTTTACGTCAAGCGCTTTAAGCACGATCGTGATTAATCAATGACCAGATTTTTCGAAACACCCTGTATACATTTTTAAAAAATCTTAAATTATGTAAAGAAACAAAATAAAATATACGTGTTAAGCGTTTTTTCGGAAACTTGACCGTTTTTTAAATAAAAAATATTGTAATATTTGAGGGGTGGTTTCTCCCTCTTGGAACTGGAATTTCGAAAAATCCCTTCTTATCGAACCTTTACACCCTAGAATCAACCTGTATGCCAAAATTGAGCTTCTTATGTTGAGTGGTTTGAGCAGGATCGTGATTAATCAGTATGTCAGTCACTTAAGGATTTTATATATTAGTATAGATTTTACAACGTCAATTTAAGAAGGATTGTGTATTCTGAACAAATCAATAATTTTTTTATTATATATCTTTCTAAAAATTACCTACATTTTCTGTTTTTGTTGGTTTAGACTATCTGACAGATTATTTCCTCCCAAAAATAAACAACCCCCAGTTCTTTGAATATAAAAAACCGGAAATTTTAAAAAACTGTCAAAGAAAAATCGTCTTCCACCGCCGAAAAATTGTCTTTGCCCCTGTAATCCGCGCATTATCATATAGATCGACTGTCGTTCCGGTGTGTTTTCTGTTTTTATTTGGGCTGTTTCCCGATCAAAAAGAAAACAGGAAAAAGAAGCAAAACCATAGGTTTTCTTCTTCATCCATAAATAACCGTGGCTCGCGCTGGCAAAACCTCTAAAAATACGTTTTTATTCGATTTTGAATGACGTTTAAAAGATTGAAAGTAAGTTTATTGGAGCCGAGCCCCGGATCCTGTCGATAAAAGTTCTTTGTAAGGGGTGTATTTCTTGGCGTAATAAGATTTTATTGAAACATAGTAGCGGAATTGGAGAATTGCTATTGAATGGTTACCTTTAACTGAAACTCTTCTCTCTACCGCCATTTCAGGTTCTATTTTAGTAGATTGCTTTACCAATTTCTCTATTAATGATTCTTCTATTGATCGGAAAATATACACACTCAGAAGCAAAGAAAAACGCAACGGAGAAATTTCTGGCCAAAAATTTAAAATGTTATACAGGGTGTTTCAAAACAAATGCGAAAAACTTTAGGGGGTGATTCCTTGTTCAAAATAAAGGGTAGTTTGCTTCATAAACGTTGGGTCAAAAGTCAACCATTAGGGAGATATCGCGGTACAAAGATGGTGGAAAAATAATGTTCTTATTTTTTATCTTGAAAACGAAAAGAGATAGACTAATGAAATTTTATGGAAGCATTACTGTTATGAAAACACACTTTCTGCTAATTTTTTCACTTTTTTAAAATGAGTGGAAGGGGTTGAAATAAACTACCCATATCATTCTTGTTAACGAAATTTAAAGAAAAATATTATCAAACACATGCAAAAAAATTAATTTGGATAGTTTGGTTTGTTTAGAAACTTTTTTATCTCTTGTATTTTTTTTATAAAACTCACCGATTTGAAATTAAAAAATAAAATGTACAGCAATACATGTCAGGACTAAAAATATTTTTAGATTAAGAATCTAGTGATAATAATGATAATAATAATAATCTCATCGACCTTCTTATTCCTTCCATCCATGTTTTCTTGGGACGTCCTCTCTTTCGTTTACCAGGTGGTATCCAATGAATGACTTGTTTTGGAATTCTTTCATTGTGCATTCTCTGAACGTGGCCATATTAATTGTTTTTGTTCTATATCATTTACTATTGTTCCCTCTATTCCCATCTGTTGTCTAATGTCTTCATTTCTAATCTGATCCCTCCGTGAAATTCTCATTGCTCTTCTAATCGTGTCCATTTCTGTTGTCTCTAATTTCCTTTTATTCCTTTCAGTGAGTCGCCATGTTTCACATCCATAGAGTAATATTCTTTTAACTAGTGTCTCGTATATATTATATTTCCTGTTTTTTGTAATTGCAGTGCTCCATAGAATGCCATTTATGCATCTGATAACTCTTCGTGCCTGTATTACTCTGTTGTTTATTTCTCTATCGTCCGTTCCATCTCCTGTAAATATCGATCCCAGGTACCTGTAATCTTCACATGCCCTAATTTCCATATTATTGTCTAAAATAAGATTTCCTGTATTAGCTCCAATTGGAAGGTATTTTGTTTTTTCTGTATTTACTGTGAGACCCCATTTAGCATATTCTTCAATTATTTTCCGCACCATATATTCCATGTCATCTTTGTCGTTTGCAATTATGGCCTGGTCGTCTGCAAATTGCAAGGTGTATAGGCATAAGTCATTTAGTTCTATACCCATTCCGTTACATTTTCTTTTCCATAGATGAAAGGCCTTGGCAATATAAATTTTAAATAGTGTTGGGGATCTTCAGCAACCCTGTCGGAGCCCTTTAGTGATAGAAATTTCCTCTGAGAGACCGTTGACCGTTTTTATTTGTGATTTTCCTCCATGGTAAAGATTTTGTACAGCTTTTATCAGAGCTGCGTTAATTCTTGATTCGTGCAATACTTCCCATAATTTTATTATTGGCACTGTATCATATGCTTTTTGTAGATCGATGAATGTTATATGAACTTCCTGGTTCATTGCAGATTTCTTCTCGATGATCTGTTTCAATGCAAAGATATTATCTGTACATGATCTTTGGCTTCTGAAATCATTCTGCTCTTCTTCTTCGTAGCAGGAGTATTCCTCTTCAATTAAGTTCCTCAGTATCCTTCCATAGAGGCGACTCATAGTGCTGGTGACCGAAATTCCCCTGTAGTTACTGGGATCCTTCCCTTGTAGTTATTGGGATCCGGCTGTTTAAGTATATCGATAAAAAAACAACCTCTCTATTACCCTTGTATAATATGCCAAATTTTAAAGTTTATAAAAAACGTAGTTTAGGATTTAAAATTGATATAATTATATACAGTTTCCTAAAAAAATCATGAAAAACAGGGCTAAAAATAACAAAAATATAGAACTTTAAATTTTGATCAAAATTTTGTCCGTTGCGTTTTTTTTTGCATCTGAGTGAAAGAAATATTTCCCTATTTTTTTCTTTCATTTGTTTCAGGTTTCCTGGATAAGAAAAAACGATTCGCCTCCCACGATCCTTACAGTCGGTCTAGGAACCTACATTGCCGACGAGAGGTTTTTAGTCGAGCATGCCCGCCATTTGCAAAATTGGGGTTTGGTCATCAAGCATGTCCAGATATCGGATGCAGGGTTGTATGAATGTCAAGTTTCAACTCACCCTACAACAAGTATCTTCATAGAGCTCAAAGTTACAGGTTAGAATATTAGATATTTTTTTTATCTCCCACAGAAAAAGTTCATTGCCTTCTTTTACATTTATTTTTTTTAAATTAGTTGACCAAAAATTAAAGAATATCAGGACGCATGAAGCACGGTTTGTTTTTTTTTGTGTGTAATTACTACAATTTATATTATAGTTAGTCAGACATACACAGGCTTTAAATAAAAAAAAAACATCTCAGAGATATTTTTCTACAGTAATTACTTACTGAATGAGAAAACTTTGTATTACCAGAGATAACTACGTAAAATAAACTTCTTACAGACGTATAAAATACACCCACGCATGTCTTTTATACTCGCATGGAGCATATGAACAAAAAGGTCCTAATTTGAATTAGTATTACATGTTTATTTATAGCTCTCTGGTTTCTATTTTTGGACAAGTCAAACAGAATACACAAAATAATTTTCCTTTAACGAGAATAATGAAAGTAAGAGTCTCAAAAAAGGAATGAAAGTTTTGGATAAAGTAAAAGGTAAAACAATATCTTACAAAATAATGTTTATACCTTTTTGGCCGGTTCATTTCTTGAAAAAAGTCTGTTTTTGCCACTGAAATAGAGTTTTAGTTGGTTTCAGCTAAAATTCTTTTTAATAATGCTAATAATGCATTTTTCTCAAAATGTCATCAATACAAGATCTGGATTTTTTTTTGTCAAGTTGAAGGAATTGAAGGTTTTTTAAGTCTCCGTTAAGAAAATTTGCTCGAAAATTTCTGGCAACACTGCCTGACACAATAATTTTCCAGATTTATATACATTGCATAAATATACAAGAAATAAAACAAAGTAAAGAAAGAAGTAAAAACCGAACAGATGCACTTTTATCGTCGTGCATAAAACAATAATATTTTTTTCCATAGCGATTTACGTTTTAAAAAATATTCAGAAATTATTATTTCAAGGAATTTATTACGAGTAGAAAAAATATTTTGCTGGGTTGGCGTTGGTTTCTATGTAATTTGACAAATAAATAAAGCTGTCTCTTTAATTGTCAGTTTTGTCAGTCATTTTATTCAATAAATTGGAAAATAAAATAAAAATTCACCAAATTGATTTTTAATTAGTCTATTTTCTATGTCTGTAAAGCATGGAGCGTTTTGTTAGAAAACTACGACAAAAAGAGGAAACGTTCATCGAGTACTCGCAAATTATGTAAAGGAATCGATTTAGCTTAATGTGAACTCAGCGTCGATCGAGGTACAAAAGAGCCATTTTGTCTTAAATGCACGAACGTCAGTGCTTAACACAGTGTCGAATTGTTAGAAAACACTATTATGCAGTTCAAACGCTTTATAGTCTTGTGAATAAGAGAAATTTACATTTGGGTGTAAAATAGAGAAAATTAGTAGAAATATTTGATTTACAAAAACCAATGTGAAAATTGACATTTTAATGCATTAATGCTTATAATGCATTTTTCTCAAATTCTCAATAATAAAAAAGTGTTTCCTCTTGTAAAAACAATCCGGGGACATACTGTATAAATACCTGGGTTAAAAAAGCTTCGTTTATTTTTCGTTCAGAGGCTGTCAATATTTCTGTCCTTATTTTGTAGGCATCTCTTTCAGTGTTGAAAAAACCATTCTTTTTACAGGAAAAACCGTATGATCGAATAAAAACGGCGTCCAGTTAGCTTGGAAATGAACATCGATGACATTCCCCATATAATTTTACATATAAAATGACAGCGATCTTCATTTCATAGCTGTCGCTGATACCGTTTTATATCGATCATATTGTATTTTACATGTTAAGTGTTGGTAATTTTTTTAAAAATTCTCCAAATATAAAAAAATGAAAATAATAAGACCTATTTAATACTGAATTACAAATTTCTTTTAATACACAACACTCAGAGGCTTAAGTATTATTATTAAGCACATTTCTAAGTTATTAGTAGAAAAAAAAAATCGAGAAAAATCGATTTCTCATTAAATTTACACCCAGTCGTCATTAGCGAAAGCCATAGAAAACCAAATCGTCTGAAAAAAATTCAACCCCTCATCAGAGATCGTTAGAAAAAATCCATCGGGATATTTCCATAAGTGCTAGACCTTTTTTCAGGCAAAAACAATGCCTGAAAATGTGTACGGGTCTGGGACATTGTATGGCGCGCCCTTCAAGGGCAGTGGACTTCTGAACTCTCCATTATTACCCAAGAAAATAAAAGCGAATTTAATATTTTTTTGGCGTTTTTTTTCTATTTTGAGTCTTATCAAGTCGTTAACGTGTTCGAAGGTTTTATTTTAGAAGAAGAAATAGTTATTTTTTATACAAGACGATAAAATGGTATTTTATCGTCAACCGAAAAGATTAAAAATTATTATTTCAAGGAATTTATTACGAGTAGAAAAATTTGTGAATTGAAAAGTTGGCGTTTGTTTCTATGTGATTTGACAAATAAATAAAGCTGTCTCTTTAGTTGTCAGTTTTGAGTCAATATTTTTTAATTCTCTTTCGTGTCGATTGCTGATTGAATCGGAGCCAGATATGGCTCAAAACGAAATAAGTAAATTACCAACAGATATTCAGGACAAACGCCATATCCAAACTACTTCCATTTAAATCCCGAATAACTTATGAAAAGGAATACAAAAATTTTCAAAAATGGAAGTAATTAGTAAACGTGCGAGAAGAAATAAGGTTTTTAACCTATCCTCCCTGTTAAAGTATCATTTAATCTACCTTTGCGGTTAAAGTACTTTTTTACCTACTATCTTTGATAGATATAAGGCAATTTTAACAGTTGCTAGAGAAAAAAAAACAATAAATACTTCTACTACATCATATTATCTTCTTTTTGGATAATTAAACAAAAAAATAATTAAATTTTTAAAATTCTTCATAAATATGAAAGTGAAAACAAAATATATATTTTCTTTTAAACCGAATTATATAGAGGCAAATGTGGGCCAAATAAATAAATAAAAAATTGACGTTTTTTGGAGCCGTGTACCTGGCACGAAAGTATGGAGAGGTCTTATCTATCCAGACCGATATAAATCCTCGGAAAGGAAAATACGGTTGATGTCGTGTAGAAGAAACATATTCGGAAATAGGAATTGCTTGCTCTCTGTATTTTTGGACGGGAAAATATCATAAAATATCTATTATTTTATGGATATGGATCTATGGGAAGAGTTCTATTGTCGTTTAGAACACAAGAAAATAAACGTAATGTCGTTATAGCGATGTCTATGTTTTTTATAGTCTTTCCTCCTTTGAATAAGATTTTGATGTATTTAAAGTTTAATATATTTTGTTCTAGTTGGCCGATTTTTATGACTTTTTAAGCAATTTGACTTGTAGTATCCCTTTCTAAATTAAAAATGAAAGTTGCCATCTGTCAATTATAAGAGGGGAAACAAAATGTTAATATTTTGGTGAAAGTTTGCAGCTCTTCATTTTACTTTATAGAGCAAATGATTGTAACAGATATTTTATTTAGATTAAAGCTGCAAAAATTAGTTTAAACTGAATTTTATTATCGCTATGTTGTTCGCATTGCGCCGTGTTCTGCAATGTTGTCCTTTATTATTTGACAATTATCCTAATGTCAGTCATTATTTTGTATAATATCGTGTTGTTGTTGAATCTTTGTGAGCAATTCTCGTTGTTTGCCTATTATCATAGTTTTTTTTATAGAGATATAGAAAAAAATCTATGTAAATATATTTTAGTTAGATGCTACAGGGTGTTCAAAATATATTTATGAATTTCAACTACTTAAAATTAAGAAATTTAAAATTTTTTAAATGGTTCACCCTATATATTATCATTTTTTCTGATAGATTTTACAAAACTCTTCAACTTTTATTAAGTATGTCATATACCTATTTTTAATAGTTTGCGATTTATTCCAATTTTTTCTATTTTTACCCATATTTTTAATACATTTAGGCTATAATATCATAGATGCCATGACAAAAAATAATAATTATCATAATTTCATGTCTGCTAAGTTAAGTTAAGAACAAAATTTGAATTTTGTCGTATGGTGGTAATGGTAGAGATAATAGTTACATATTTTCCTGAAATGAATTAGTCAATGTGACCGTATGAAATGAATTAGTCAATGTGACTGATATACACGAACAAGCCAAGAAAACCATATTCTTTGGTTCAGTACTATATATTATATAGTACTTTGCTAAGTACTATAAGAATATATATAGATTATCTAGAAAACATCTTCAGTGTGCAATGGGATGGTTTGGTGGCAGTAGTAATATGGGCTTTACGAAATGAATTATAATTAGTCATTACATTATACACATTATAGTCAGTCAATATGTCAATAGTCTTCAACAATTAAGTAATTTAGTATTACCCTAATCTGTCGCTATTCGCCCCGACGGAAAATCCCACCCAAGAATCTTTTTTCATAATATAGAAATACACCAAGAAATTCACGACTGCGATTTTAGTTTATTTGAGTAAAGTTAATTAATTTTACCTAATAGATACTAACAATTGTAACTAATTATTACTTGTTAAAGATAAGTAATAAATAGTTTGTTTTGTCATGGTAACTATGATTTTATAGCGTAATTGTATTAAAAATATGGGTAAAAATATAAAAAATGGGAATAAATCGGAAACTATTAAAAATAGGTATATGACATACTTAATAAAAGTTAAAGAGTTTTGTAAAATCTATCAGAAAAATTAATAACATATAGGGTGTCCCATTTAAAAAATTTAAGATTTTTTAATTTTAAGTAGATGAAATTCATAAATATATTTTGAACACCCTGTAGCATCTAATATCTTTACATAGGTCTTTTTCTATATCTATATGAAATTCTCCTACCAAATTTTAGTAGTCCAACTTCAGAAACAACGGCATCACTGACAATTTTTTATCACACTGCAATCTAACATTTGTTTAAACAAATTTAAATATTACAAAAACTATTAATTTTAGGTATATAATATTATATATAAAAAACTTATGGAATTTTACGCAGAATCTGAAAATAAAATAAAACATAGGGTGTTGCGTTAAAAAAACATATTTTATATTCGCCACAACTTTTTGAAGCACCCTGTGTACTCTATAATAATTTTAAAATGTGTATCTTAACCTTCCCTATAACTTTTATATTTAATACTTTTTTGTAAACCTCGAAACAAATGAGATAATGAACTTTACTCTATCGTTGACTCACCCTGTACATCAATAAATAAATAAATAAATATCCCATAATATCGCTTAGAATAATCTTCATAATGGACTAGTTTTTGCCAATATCTAATAAGGTAAAATATGCTATAAAACAAATATATCCATTAGTTACTAAAATATTAGTTATTAAATTAAAAAGAAAACGTAAAACTCTTTAAAAAATGAAATAATAAATATATTGTTTGTCAATTTTAAATTAAGATTCATCTTGTAAATCCATCACAATTTGGCAGCGCTGTCGCCATCGCTTGTCACTCAAAGCTGATGACGTGCATCGGAAATTGTTTTGCGATTACCATTTTTGTTTTTTTTCTAGAATTTACAATAAGGTCATATAAATCTATTAACATGTAGAAAAACTTAGGATTCTTCTTTAGGGAAAAAGAATAGAATAAAGCTTTTTTTTGTCTTGGTGCGATTCGTCTGAATTTGTAACCTAGGAAAGTTATATTACCTTTCCGGGTGCAGAACAAGGTGCAACTAGCTGTTTGCATAGCAAAGTCGCAAGATAAGTTCCCGCTATTAATCTTAATTTCCCGGAAAACTCAGGGCCCGCAAATTGTTACCTACGACCTTTTCTTCAATGCGTTCAGCTTGAAATATCGCCCACCTTTTGTCATCTAAATAACTTATTCGCATTTTCGCGGTGATTTAAGTGAACTCCTTGTTAAACTATGTAAAAAATCATTTCGAGTCATTTTATACAGGAGCCTCAAAATGTTTTTTTGGCAAAAAAAAAGAAACTCTGTATAATCTTTATAAATATATTTCAACACTTTTATTGAATAATATTAAGACAATGTCATTACCCTGCGTGCAATACGCTACAGGGTCTTCGAACTAACCCTACAAACACATTATACAGCTCCCACATAAAATATTACAGCCCTATAGGGCCACAACCGTATTTCCTTGACCCTGCCGAAGGTGGGCGCCGTACAAACGCCGAAACGTCGTAAATATTCGCCACCTGGGCCTTCGGAAAATAGTGTTTTTCCCCGGGAAATTCAATTACTTCGATTCGGTAGTTCGTTTCGTGCTGAAGGTGGATTCTGCGGCATCGGAAAAGACAGATATTCTGATAGATGGCGCCGTGTTAGGCCGCAATGCCACGTTTACATTCGGGTGGCGTTTGTCTATTGTGCGGAGGAAAAATAGTAATGTCTAGGAAACAGGTTATAAAAAAAGGTTCCGTACAAATTTGTAGCTACTATACAGGTTGTCAAAAAATACTGTTATGATATCCTATTGTTAATAAGTGTTGCGTGCTGTGCTGCTGGAGACAAGTGACAGGGTTCCCCAGGGGCGGATACAGGAATTTGTTTTCGGGGGGGGGCCCAAATAAAAAGTAATGTAGAATATGCTTTTTAGGGCGCCATTTTTAACCAATAAGCCCAATATTTAAAGCAATTAATAGGTTTTAGGGGGGGCCAAGGCCTCATGGGACCCCCTCTGTATCCGCCACTGGGTTTCCCTTCCATCGGATGGTCGGAAAATGTCAGGGGCTGTTGCAGTATTTAGCAAATTTTTTTGATTGATTGATTGAAACGGATTGCTTAAAAAACTGTATTATTCAGCTTACCGGGTGCGTCTAAAAACTGGTTCACCCCTATAACTTTGTTTTTTTTTCAGATAAATAAACGAGATTTGGTCTGTTAATATATGACGTAAGTTAGGAATAATTGACGTATTCAATTTTTTTCGGCCACTTCCTGTTTCATCGGAAATGACTACAAATTTTGATTTTTAAATGACGCTGGGTGTTTTTTTATTTTATTCGATAGAAAATGACACTTTGAATAGAATGACATATCATATGTCAACTTTTGACATTTTTGGGTATGGTTTAGTTGAAATTTTTTTTGAATAACGTCAATTTGACTCGAACTACCAAGTGTGTGGTATCAAACTATTCGCCAAAAAAATGCTTTTTCCAAATCTGTTAATGAGCCACCTTTGTTTCATTTGAAAAAATTGAGAAATGATTAAAAAAAAACATTTGGGCATTTTTAGACCGGTCAGGACAAGACACGAAAAACATTAGAGGATCAAATATATTTTTCCAAGGCTCCTTGATAAAAAGTTAGTGTTTTTAACACATCCAATGGCACTCTAGATTGAAATTTAAAACACGATATTTTTAAACTAAAATGTCAAACGTTTAGATATGATATGTTATTCTATTCAGAGTGTCATTTTCTATCGAATAAAGTAAAAATATACCGAGGGTGCCATTTAAAAATCAAAATTTGTAGTCATTTCCGATGAAACAGGAAGTGGCCGAAAAAAATTGAATACGTCAATTAGTCCTAACTTACGTCATATACTAACAGACCAAATCTCGTCTTTTTGTCTGAAAAAATAAAGAAATTATAGGGATGAGCCACCTTTGAGACGCACCCGGTATATATTTTATAGAGTTTTGATTGCCAAAAAATCTAAAAAAAAAAGATTTCTAAAATAATTATGCCTCGTCAGACATTACTTGAAAAACTCCATTGCAATATTCTCCGAAATTTCAGGATTTTTTTTTTCCAGTTTTCAAAACAATGCCCCGAAAATCTGTGGGGGTCTGACCCATTGTAAGGCACCCTTCAAAGGCTTCTGACCTTCACCCTGTCCATTATTATCGGACAAAATAAAAGTGACAAGTTTTTTATGCTGTTTTTCCTTTGTGTTTGTTGAGTCGTTAACGTTAGTAGGAGGTTAATACAAGGTTTCTGAAAGAAAATGGATTTTCCGTTGGATTTTCTCTATTTCCGGTTTGATTTTGCTGAGCAGAGAAAACACGTGAGTTATACAGGGTGGTGTATAAATTCTACGTCGTTTTTCATATATTATCTATACTAATATATAAAATCCTTAAGTGACTGACTCACTGATTAATCACGATCCTGCTTAAACCACTCAACGTAAGAGGCTCAATTTTTGCATACAGGTTGATTCTAGGGTGTAGAGGTTCGATAAGAAGGGATTTTTCGAAATTCCACTTCCAAGGGGGTGAACCACCCCTCAAATATTACAATATTTTTTATTTAAAAAACGGTCAAATTTCCGAAAAAACGCTTAAACGCGTATATTTTATTTTGCTTTTTTTAAATATTTTAAGATTTTTTAAAAATGTATACAGGGTGTTTCAAAAAATCTGGTCATTGATTAATCACGATCCTGCTTAAAACGCTTGACGTAAAAAGCTGATTTTTGGAAAACGGATTGAGTTTAAGGTGTAGAGGTTCGATAAGAAGGGATTTTTCGAAACTTGAATTCTAAGGGGGTGAAACCACCCCTCAAATATTAGAATATTTTTTATTTAAAAATTGGTGAGTTTTTCGGAAAACTCTTAAACACGTATATTTTGTTTTGTTGTTTTACAAACTTTAAGATTTTTTAAAAATTTATACAGGGTGTTTCATAAAATATGTCCATTGAGTAATCACGATTCTGCTTAATCTGCTTGACGTAAAAAGCTTATTTTTGGCAAACGGATTTTTCGAAAGTCAAATTCCAACGAGATGAAACTACCCCCTCAAATATTACCAAGTTATATAATAATATCGTTATATTGTTTTATCTTATTCTGACATAAATGTGTCAAAATTTTATCCAGTTTGTATATTAATGGAAATTCTTGCCTTGCTCTATCATCACCATTACAAATGATTAATTCGACGCGAACGCAGTCGCGCGTACACACTAGTTTTATAAATAAAATCACTAAAAATTGTAAGAAAATGCATGTTTTCACGCACATAGATTTTAATTAACAATATTATTACATTTTTAATGAGATTTTCTTGTTTTTTTTTCTCATTATACCTTATTTCTGGTTGTTCCAGAGGCTGTGGCTGAAATCAGTGGGGCTCCCGACCTGCACATCAGAGCCGGATCTAGGCTTCGCATAGTTTGTCGATTAAGGCACAGCACGGAGCCTCCATCCTACGTGTTCTGGTGAGAAAATTATTATTATTAGTTTCTTGTTTATTTATTAGATTTTTAGTTTTCTTATTTTTTTCCCTTTAGTTATTAGTGTTTTAATCATTTATGAATTTTAAGCAGGATTTAGTTAGTGGGTAGTTTTAAAAAATTGTTATTAGAAATTTTATTATAAAATATTGTTTTTCTTTGGGATTAGTGTATTGTATAATTTATGGTTGCTTTCTTCGTAATATTAATAATTAAAAAAAGCAATATTCTGCACCGTATTCATTTGCTCAATGTATAATTTTTCACAATTTCTTTGTACGTGATTGTCATATTCTTATATTTTTTTAAATTTGTAAACTTGAATAATTCGGTTATTTTGGACTTATTTGAAAAACGCAATTGAAAATATTGTTTTTCTTTAAGATTAGTCTGTAAAATAATTTTTGGTTACTTTTACAACACAACATTATTTTGCCCCCTACTCATTTACTCAACGTATAATTTTTCACAATTTCTTGGTACGTGATTGTCATATTTTTATATGACTTACTACTAGCTTTAAATAATTTACGGCATTTTGGTTTTGCAATATTTTACATATAATTGAGTATTTTTTATACTATACAGTGTGAGTCTCATTATTTTTAAATACGGCACTTTTTTTATTTTCAAACTTGAATAACTCTGCTATTTTGGATCTATTTAAAAAACGGTAATGAGAATAGTTATTTTTTACACAAGATGATAAAATAATATTTTATCCTCGACTGAAAAGATTAATTCACGAGCGATGAAATCGCGAGTGAATTAATTTCGGGGGACGATAATGCAATTTTATCGTCGTGTATAAAACAATATCTTTTTCCATAGCGAGTTACGTTTTAAAAATATTTAGAAATGATTATTTCAAGGAATTGATTACGAGTAGAAAACATATCGTGCTGGGTTGGCGTGGGTTTCTATGTAATTTGACAAATAAATAAAGCTGTCTCTTTAGTTGTCAGTTGTGAGTCAATATTTTTTAATTCTCTTTCGTAAGATTCGGTGTATAATATGAAATAAAAAATGTTTATTCTAACAATCCTAATTATTTTTAAACAATTTTTAAATGATATACAGCAAACATAAATTTAATTTATGTCCTTTTTATAGTAATATACTTCATCATCTATTATTTTATCTTCTTGTAAGATATGAAATATTCTTCGTTTAAATTATCGTTATACTATATCATCCCCTTTATCTTTCTGGCGAACCCCTACTGCCATCATCGTTGATTATCCATCAAGTTCTTCGTAATTTTGCCAGATATGTCAAGCTTTCCAGATAAACAGCACCCTCATCCGATTCCCTTTCACCATTATGATGTAAAATAATCATTTTTTTCTAAGATTACGTAGCTATGACTAACGAACTTTTTTTTATGGTTAAAGTCTGTATTAAAGATATTTTTTTGGTGGTTGTTATTAGAGACTGTGTTATGTATTTTTCAGATAAATTATACAGGGCTGATAGATCTCGATAAAAGAATAGTATATTGTATATCTTGTCAATCTTGTCGCAAAAATTAATATTTTTGTGACGTCTGAAGACATAAATGTTTTTTAAGAGATTAAAAATCTACTCTTTTTTTTTCTTATTCTAAAATTTCAGGTATCACGATCACAGAATGATCAATCACGATGTTGGAGTAGTGGTCACCGCGGACAGATCGACCAGTATTCTACTTGTAGAAGATGTAGACCCTACTTTCAGCGGAAACTACACTTGTTATCCTTCAAATGCTACACCAGCATATGTGAACGTTCACGTTCTGAACTCTACAGAAGGTACAGTAAAACAAGTATTATCTAATTCAACTCTAATTACCACATAATAGTGTGTGATATCAAATTATTAGTAAAATATGCTTTTTCCAAATATGGTAATGAGCCACCCTTGTTCCATTTGAAAAAATTGAGATATGATTAAAAATACGAGTTGGACTTGCTTTTAACCGGGCAGGACAAGACACAGAAAATATTAGACGGTCAAATCTATTTTCCAAGGCTCCTTGATTAAAAATTAGTTCCAAGGCTCCTTGATTAAAAATTAGTGTCATTTGTGTGTGTCATTTTCTATCGAATAAAATAAAAATATACCGAGGGTGCCATTTAAAAATCCAAAGTTGTAGTCATTCCCGGTGAAACAGGAAGTGACCAAAAACAATTGAATACGTCAATCAATCCTAATTTATGTCATATACTAACATACCAAATCTCGTTTTTTTATAAGGGTGAGCTACTTTTGAGACGCACCCGGTATTTCAATATCTTTCTAGATTTGAGTATGGTATTTTCTCATTATTTTCCGTTTAATTTATATTCTATAATATCTAGTATCAGTATAATTACATATTACAAATAAGAATAAAATATAAGCCTCTGTGTGTCATGAACCGTCGTCGTGAGCTGCGGAAAATGCCGGAGTTCCACACATAATATGATTAAAATTTAATTTTCTGCATATTTTTTTTCATTGAATAAACCCTATTTTGGTTTATTTGTTTAGATATAACAGAGAAAGTCATTAAATGGCATTAAAAAAAATTGCAGTAAATGCTTTCAGTGGTTCTGTCTAAATTTGTAAACACTTCCATGGAGTTATGCCAATCCCAAACCACTCTCATGAAAAAAAAAGTGATTTCGCTCTAAAAAATCACGTATTTTCCGGAAAAACTCGGTTTATTTGCCATTTTCGTGGGAAATTTGCGGTACTTTGGTGAAAACGTTCAGATTTGAAGGCGATACACAAACAGATACCTACACATATGCACACTTGACTCCGCTTTATGCACCGTTTTCATGCGAAATACTATGTTTTTCCGTTTGGTGTTGGGAAATGCAGGAAATAGGGGGTATAAAATGTACGTTTTACGATCTAGAGTTAAAGAAGTAGGTTTTTAGTCGAAATATAGCACATTATATATGAAAGAAATGTAAGTATGTACTTATAAGGCCTGTTATGTGGTTGGTGGGTTAATTCATGTTTTATTTTTACAAAAAAACTGTATCTATGTACAGGGTGGGTCAAATTCGACGCTTTTAAATGGAAATACCCTTTTCTGTAGGGGATAGACGAAAACTAATATCGGTGTTTGGAGCTCAATTTTCATCAAAAACATGATGGTGAAAACCGCACATCAATATCTGTTACCGTTTCGGAGTTACGGGGTGTTTTTCAAAAATGTGCATTTTTAACAAATCGCTGTAACCTTTTTGGTATGGAAAATTTTGTATTTCTATGAAAATTTCACACCTCTACTTTTCAACCAATAACATGCTTTAATGTTGACTAGTTACCATGGCAACTGAAAAAATTTCCGGAAATTTTTTCGAGGCGCCACGAAACTTTAGTGGAAATTTTTTGACAGTTGAAAAGGTAAACATAAGATCTACAGTCATAATGTGAATGAACTACAAACTGTTTCCATACACTTGATTTTGATTTTTGGGTGTTATCTGGTTTTATATTTTCAATTTCTTCTTTAATGACTTGTTGGTTTACTTTTCCAAATCGCGACATTTCGCTATACACTTCTTACTCTACGTACAGACGTTTTAAAACTAGTAATAGCTTAATGACAGAATCGCAAACAAAAATGACAAAACACATAATATGTCAAAAACATCAATAACCTTGGCCAACTTAACAAATTGAAATTATTTTAAAATGTCATGTTGGATTAATATTTTTTTTTCAAATTTAGGTGTGAAATTTTCTTACCGAATACCACGCAAGCTTAAATTATTCCTGGAAATTTTCTTTCGGGCACGAATATTTTAGGAAAATTATCCCTCGTCTTCGACTCGGGATAGTCATATAATCATTTTTAACTCCAAAATATTCGTGCCCTCAAAAAAATTTCCGAAAATAATTTAAGCTCTTGTGATATTATAAGTGAAAACATTCCCAAAGCACCTTTTTACGTACAATTTAATGGTTTAAGTATAATTTTTTTAAAATTAATAATTTAAGAGTTATCAACAGAAAAATTGAGTTTTTATTTGGGACACCCTCTATATTTTTAATTAACTGAAAAGAATTTAAAATTACTTTTCCAAAAATATAGCACACTTGATATTTTGTTATAATCCCCTTCGAAATACAGAATTTTTAAAAGTTCGCCACTTTTCACTAGTAGGCTTTGGATTCGATTCACTAGTAGGCTTTTCACTAGTAGGCTTTTGGCCCTTATTGATGATATGCCCTTAATGGAACTTAAATCCGCAAATTTTTGCATCCAATTTCAAGAATAATTGAATAGCTAACTAATATTCCAGCCGTTGGCCGTCGAGGTCACCTGACTTAGTACCCATGGATCTAATCCTATAGATATATTTGCGGAAAAATAAAAGTTTCTTATTCTTCCGTATAATCTAGACAAGAAATAGAAATACTTAGCAGTTATGAGAGGGTATTTATTACCCCCTCTGAGTTAATGAATTCCGCGAGAAATGTTCAAAAACTGCCCCGTCTGTCCATAACAGAAGACGAATATGTCGAACACCTGTAGCAAAATCTCATGTCTTGGTTTGTTATTTATTTTTATTGTTATTGGATATAGTTTAAATGTGTTGATGTTGGTTAAATATATTTTAAATAGTTACAAAATTCTGCATCTCTCATGGAAAATATTATTTTCGTTTTAATTGATGCTCACAGCTAGATTTTTTTGCATTACAGCCGGTGCCGTTCAAAGCCTACTTATTTAAAGCTGGCGAATTTTTATATACCTTATATATCTAAGAGGAATCGAGCAAAATATCAAGTGTGTTATATTTTTGGAAAGGTAATTTTAAATTCTTTGCAATAAGTTAAAAATATACAGGGTGTCCCATATAAGAAATCAAATTTTCTGTTGATAATTCTTAAACTATTAATTTTAAAAAAATTATACTTAAACCATTAAATTCTACGTAAAAAGGTGTTTTGGAAATGTTTTCATAAAAATACAAAATTTTTTATAGCAAAAAAGTTACAGCGATTTGTTAAAATTGCATATTTTTGAAAAATACCCCGTAACTTTGAATGCGGTTTTCACCATCATGTTTTTGACAAAAATTGAGCTCCAGACACCGATATGTTTTCGGCTATCTCCTATAGAAAAGGGTGTTTCCATTTAAAAGCGTCGAATTTGACCCACCCTGTACTTTATATGCTTTGGAAGATTGTAAAAATTGTGTTTTTATTTATCAAAATACTGGAAAATTACTGTGGATTTAAATTTCTTCTAAAATTTGACTTTTTATTGTTGATAACAGGTTTTGTACTTAATAAAATGAATCAAAAGGCGAGTACTACATATTGCTATATTTCTACATTAGAGATAGAAGAGGTGTCATAGTAGCCATTGAGAAAGACACTTTTTTTTCTAGAGAGAAATTTGAGCTTTGTTTGTTGTTTTTTTTTGTTACTATTTTGTATTGTTTCTAGATTATTTTGTAACTATTTTTATAAGTCTTGTATAAAAAATAACTATTTATGGGACAACAGTCATCTTTATTCAAGAGGTTGAAAATTATTGAATTATTAATATCGCTATTAAAAAATAGGTGTTGATGGTAGAAGGGTAAACATTTGGGGTTGTATGTCTTTTTAATGCCACATCATAAAAAAGAAAAAGAAAAAATTTTGTTAAAAAACTAGATATCAATTTATTCCTCAGACCAAACTGAATACAGATACAGAATTTCATCAAAATCGGTCAAGCCGTTTCGGAGGAATATAGTAACTAAAACTGTGACACACAAATTTGATATATTAGATTATTATTATGTCAATAAAATAAAATTTAACCAGTTACTCTAGTAGCGTATCTATATCATTACTATTATTAAATAAAGCAATCTTCTTGTCGTTTGACTTGCATAATATTAATTTCAAGTTGTTTTAGAATGTAAATTTCAGTTGAAACTTGAAAAATGTTTGATACTGGTAGAGTTACAAGTAAAAACTTTAAATGTAGATATTAAAAATGGCACTAATAAAGTTTACAAGAAAAATGAGCTAAAAATGTTCGAGATACGAGCGATTTTAAATTTCGTAAATTTCATTTCGGGTCTCTCGGGTTTCTTTCTGGAGATTTTGCGTAGGATTTTTTTTCTTTTAACAGTTTCCATTAAGAATCCAGTTCAAGTTTTAAAATGAAACTTTAGCAACATGTTCCAGCGCGAAGTTCTATTTAAGGCGAATAAAAAAGTTTTTTTTTTAGTAAAATGGCACTTGGGAAATGCTTAGGAGTTAAATTGTGTTATATTCTTTCTTAATACATTTTTTTGATTAAGAGTCCATTTCAATAGTCCATAATAAGCGTTCGGCATTTAACGTTTTATGTAAAACTGGCTAGGTATTTTTACACAAATGAAGAAGGAAATTAAAGATAAAGGAGTATACAATATCCGTATTGTAGCACATTTTTAGAGAACTTCTTTATTTTTAAGACTTTCACGGTCAAACATCAACAAAATATTCCTTATGTTAGGACTAAATTTTCTCGAAAATAAAGACATAATTTAAAATTCCGTTACAATACGGAAATAGATTGAAGTTTTGTAATTACAGTGATATATAATTTACTAGCGTGTACCAGCGACTTCGTTCGCGTCGAATTAATCATTTGTAATGGTGATGATAAAGCAAAGCAAGAATTTCCATTAACATACAAACTGGATAAAATTTTCTCACATTTATGTCAGCATGAGAAAAAACAATATGGCGATATTATTATATAACTTGGTAATATTTGAGGGTAGTTTAGTCTCATTGGAATTTGACTTTCGAAAAATCC